CATCACCCGCTTCGCCTGCGCCTCGCTCATCCGCTTCGAAGATGCGCTCCCATTGACGCTGCTGCTGCTGCGGCTGGCGGTGATTCCGCTGCTGTTGCGCGTGCTGGCTGTGGCAGCGGCAGGACTGGCGTTGCTCTCAGAGCGATCTACAGCGGAGGTATCGTCTGCAAAAGAGGCCGTTGTAAGAACATCGTACAGCGTCCCTCCAGTGCAGAGCTCTAGGACGAAATGCACGCACGTGGCGTCCTCGTATTGGTCCACAAGGGCGGCTACGGATTGGTGCGCTGATACGCGCTTGAGAATGTCGAACTCTGTGCGGAGACGTGTGAGCTGAACCTGCGACATGCGGCGCTTGTCGACCGTCTTGCACGCGAATCGCTCGTGCGACTTCCTGTGCATCACCACGCGAACCACGCCGTACAATCCGCGGCCGATTTCGCGACCTGGAGGTTTGCAAATTGAGCGCCACGCAGGACGACGACGAGGAGGGGGACAGGTTAGCGACGATGCGAAGGAACTAATCGCATTGAATCACTACACAGATCGGTTCCATGCATGGCGCTGACGCAAGGTGCTGAAACATGGCGCTGACGCGGAAGCTTACCTATCAAATAGTTGCTCTCGAGTCGTGTGCTCGACGGTGGCAGGCCTAACACTGATTGGCGATTCGACGCATTCTGCTTCGCGCTTTTGCTAGCTTTTCTTTGTGAGCGATCCGCCTTGCGATGCTGCTTGGTGGTGGCAGAGGACGGCGTTGTTAGACTATCTGACGATGTGCGACTGCGGCCACCCGTAGAAACGCAGGCGCCCATGTTCAGTCGAATTAGGTTACTCGTACAACAAATATTCCTGAAGAACGACGACCTAGAAATAATACCCTGCGGAGAAGCGCGATCGCCGTCTGAAAATGCAACGATCCAAATATGGAAGCGACGACCGAGAATTTAATAACGATCTAAATCGGGAAGCGACGACCGAGAAATTAATATGGCTGGAGCCTGCAAATGTGATGGTCTGACTGTGAGTGCGCTTACAATTCGCTATGGAGTGATGCTATGGCTGCAGTCAGGATCCCTTTTGAGCACCGCTGGTGTCAGACATTGAACGGACACCACTGATCACTCTTGTCTCGTCCCGCCCTACCATGTGGCTGGCTGCAGAGCGCACGGCGTGTTGGGTCGAGAGGAAGCAGGGCAGAAACTGTCGTGCGGTGCGTTGATTGGCATGCTTGCGTCATTTTGCGAACAAGAGAATGTGGTTGCACGGTCCGCGCGAAGAACCTGTATACCCAACGATGATTGGAATTGGTTGAACGAAAACACATTCTTTCGCTGATGACTGGGGGGTTTGGGTTGGGTGGAAGAAGGGAGGTTGCGTATGGCAGAGAAGCTGCTTGTGCACGCAGATATGCCTTGTGACTCGTGTGCACCAATCACACGCCATGACGTGAAAGCCTCTCGTTTCCTTAGGAGGGAGACAATGACGTAGCCCTAAATGAGGGGATTGGCGTCAGCAACTCTGTCACTATTGGACGATACTATGTTCCTCGAAAGCACTAGCCAGATCCAGAGCCTTCCTCGAAACGACGCGCTTCCATCGCCAACGTCACTCAGTTAGGAGGATCGAGCCTTTGGGCGCGCGCAGTCACATCATTCTCGCTGACATGAGCGCACACTTTTCAGAGAGATGTGACAACAGGTGAAGAAAACGCGGGAAGGAGACATCGAGACCCTGATAATGCCACATCTCTACATGCATTGTAATATAGCAAGATAATGATAATCATCTCTTACAAATCTGACAACGAGAATAATACTCCACATGCATTATTTCCATAATTGCAACAAGCAAACCTCACTCGAGACTGACAAAACATGACAACCTTTAACTCCTATCTACCATCTCCCATGCCGGCCTCTGCTGCCTCTCTCTCTGCTTGCTCCAGTATCTGTTCTGCCCTCTTTCTTTTTTCATCCCTCTCGTCGTCCTTCCCCTTTTCCCTCTTCTCCTTCCCTTTCCTCTCTTTGTCCTCCTCGCTTTTCCCAATGCCATCACTCCCGACTTGCCCGCCCTTAAGCTTTGCCTGCTTCAGCACAAGAGGCAACTGCATTCTGGCAGCTCCAAGCTTGGCCTTGATCTTGCTGCCTAGGTGAAACGACACCCCCGGGACACTCGCCCCTGAAACCCGATCCACTGCCGACCACCCACTCCACCCAACCTCCTTCACCCGCTCGCCCTGATCCCCCACTGCCTCACTTCTCTTGGCCCCACTGCCATCACCCTTCCTCTCCTCTCCGCCCTCCACTACCACAATATCCCCATCCATAGCCATCGCATCCCCATTCCTCCCCTCTATCTCTTCTAACTCATCCTCCTCCTCCTCGCTGTCCTCAACCCCCTCCCCCGCTGCTCCCCCGCCCTGCGTCCTGCCCGCGGCCATCATCAGCCCGGGGAACGCATCCAGCGCGGAAGGAACCTGACCCGCCACCCACCCGCCATCTGCCTCCCTTCTCCGCTTCTTCCGCCCCTCGCCCCACTCCGTGCCATCATCGTTGCGCACCGCGAGCGGCGCACCAGTGGCAACGGGCGCGGAGATCCCCGCGTCTGACCTGGCGGAGAGGTCTTCCCCCGCGCCAACGTGAGACCATCCGCCCCACAACAGTCGCCCACCGCCAGCACCACCGCGCGCCTGCGCGCCGCCCGCCGTGACCATCCCCATGCGCTGGTGCAGGGACACCAGTGACTGCTCCGCGCGCCGCCGCTCTCGCCCCTCCTCCACCCGATCCTGCCGCTTGTCCTGCCCCCGAGCCTCCCACACAGGCGTGGCGATGTACGTGTGGGGATCCGGGAGCGCCGGTAGCCACTCCGGAATGTCGCCACGTGGAGGAGGGTCCTCCCCACTCTGAAGGAAACTGGCGGCGACGAAGCGCGGGTTCCGAGGGACGGGGAAGGACGGGACGGCTTGCGCCAACGACGGCGACGAGTGGTCGTCCGCGAATTCGACGAAACGAGCGAGATCGCCGAGCGACGTGCCGACGTCGGATAATGCGAGGGCGACGTCGTTGGCGTTAGCGTCGGTTCGCCCTGCGAGCTCCGCGTGCGCGTGCGCAGCGTCGCCGACGCTGGAGATGAACCGAGTCAGGATGTCGGACAAGGTCTCGAGCGCTGACCGTTGGATGGACTGGAAGCCGAAAGACTCGCAAATCTGAGCGCAGACTAGCTGCGACACGGAGCGAGTGAACGGCTCCGCCATGGCTGGCTTGTTCGCTCTGAGATTCCTTGTTCGCAGCGCGAAAAGTTAGGGTTCCCGCAATGCCCGGTGTTATGTCGGCTGGTGGTAATCGAGTGTTGTTCTGCGCTGGGGCTGATGGGTTTGGTTGGATGCTCCGGAGCACGTCAGTTCGTTCTCAGCGCCTTGCGAAGTGTTACCGTTTTGCGAAACATCGCAAGCACGTGCTTGCAATTCGGCCCCAGCTCTGCACATGCCCATCATCCAACAATTCGTGCACGCGACAGTCGCGAAAAATACCAGATGGGAATGGGCTTCGCCTAGTCACTAGCAGCAGCAGGCAAGCAACAGTGGTTTCCTTTGCCAGTCCCTTGAAGTATGTACATTTGAAATTCAAGTTTCCAAATCAAACCACCATCGCCATGGGTGTTTCGTGTCCACCCACTCCGTACTTGCTGCTCGCTTCCCTCGCTGCTCCCGAGCAGCAGCATCTGCGGTGAAGCGAACGTCTGTGTCTCGAGCGTTAGGGTGGTAGTAGGTCCGAGGCAATGGACCCTAATAATTTTAGCGACATAAAAGAGGACCATAATTGGTCTTCGGATGCCATTCCACCCATGAATAACTTGACACATACGAGCTATCATCATAGCACGACTACTCATCCTCCTCTCGCCTCTAGTTCCGATTCGCCTTCACTCGTCCCCTCATCCGCCAATCCGCAATGTCGCACCCACAGACCGTTCACTTCAACCGGCAAGAACCACCGCTACCGGGGGGATATCTGAACAGTAACCCGTATTCTTCTTCTGAGATTGCTCTCTTCATAGCGTCTAACTCAGTAGAACCCCCTTACAATAACGGAGCCTCGTACGCGTCACTCCAGCATAGCTCGCAACCGGCGCCTGACGTGGGTTTTTCTCATCCCAACGTGGGGTCGTCGCGCCCCACGTCCGCCCCACTCTCGTCCTCGTCTTTGCCGTTTCAAAACCAACCGTTCTATCCGCCGCACCCGCCGTTTCCTCAGAACTCGCAATTTCCGCTGTCGCCCGCGCAGCCAGCAGGCACGCCGCTTAGAAATCCCTCCTCGTTGCCGCTGCACGCGCCAGCTGCGCACTCCATGAATTCTGGCCCTCGAAACACCGCCGCTACAGCCGGTAATGGAAACCACATGCCGTCTGCCCACGGCGTGCAATTCGGTGCTCCAGACGGGCAGGCTGTTTATAACGGTCAAGTGGGTCCTTCGGCTCCTGCGTCCAGCCGTCTGGCCGTCGGATTGTCAGGACCACCGACAAACCATCTGATTCGGCCGTGGCAGAACCAGGCGAGCGTGAACCAGTCAGGTGTAACAACACCCTTTATCCAAGCCTCCGCCGCCTTCTGCCGGCCCGCTCCGTCCGCCCCTTCTCCCTCCGCCGGTTCCGCGCCTTCCGCCCCTTCCGCGCCTTCCGCTCCTTCAGCGAGTTTCTTTCCTACCATCCCTTCCGGGTCTTCCGCGCCTTCCGCGGGATCTCAACTCCACTCCGCTCTCTCGACAGCTAACGCGCTAGGTGGTCCCTCCGTCGTTGCCGCCGCGCCCGCCGTCCACTCCCGCCATGCAGCCACGTCACCCGCCGCTCCACCGCAGAGGTCGAACGGCGTGGGGCCCTGCATGATTGGGATACCGTCAGCTCCCGCTTCTGCGTCCGCTGCTGCGTATGCTCCAAATCCTCCGCCTGTTCCCGCGCCTTCGTCCTTTGATCCGGAATTGCAGACGCGCGTGCATAGGCTGCTTATGCAGGATGCAGGGAGGAACCATGCGGGTGCTTTCTCACTCGGTTCGCGAAGTGGCAGCATGCCTGCTACAGCTGCTACAGCTGCTACAACTGCTCTCGTCGCCGCCATGTCGTCGGGTCCAGCTGCTGCCTCACTCTCCGCTCCCCCTGCTTCCGCCCTCCGCCCGCCTTCCGTCCGCGCGCCCCAACCACCTGCCTGGGCGCCTTCCGCCAACCCGACTGCCGAGGTGGCAGTCATACCCGCGACGGCGAGTGCAGCGGGCGCACCGGGCCCGCGCATAACCCTGTGCGACGTTGACGCGACACTCTTCCCCGACTCTCGCCTCCCCAATCTCTCCGCCGCTTCCACTGCGCCTGCCGTCACCTCGTCTCTCACCTTTTCCCCTCCCGCACCCGCTTCCCCACCTGCACCCACTCCCCCCGCACCCACTCTCCCCGCTTCCGCTCCTTTCCTAAGCCCCGCCCCTAATGGAGCCTTCGCATCGGTTCCGGCTCACTCGCCTCCCGCCGTTCCAACCCCCTCCGCTCCTATCTCCTCCGCTCCTATCCCCTCCGCTCCTTCTCCTTTCGCTCCCACTCCCCCCGCTCCTACTCCCCCCGCTCCTACTCTCCCTGCTCCTACTCCCCCCGCTCCTGCTCCCCCCGCTCCTACTCCTCCTGCTCCTGCTCCCCTCGCTCCTACTCCCCCCGCTCCTACTTTCCCAACCGGCGAGTCCCCTCCAGTAGGTCTCCCTTCCGCCGCACCTCCCCTCCTCCCCGTTCCTCCCGCCCCGCCTGTCCCACGTGGCACCGCGCGCGCTGCCAACGCCTCCGCCAACGCGCGCTCCTCTGGGGCAAACGCGCGCCCTCCCGCCTCCTCCCGCCGCCCTCCCGCCGCTGGCGGGCGCAAGCGCGCTCAGCCGCCTTCCAGTGACACGGCAGGGTTGTTAGCCAATCAGAGAGCAGCAAGTTCACAGTCGCGTGGCGCTATGTTGGCGCTGGCGGCGGCAGCAGGAGGGGACGCTGAAGCGGACATGGGGGAAGTGTACTTTCTCATTCTGCACTTTTTGACGGGCAGCCCGTGCCGTCGGGCAGCAAAAGTTTTGAAAGAGGAACTGGAGGAGTTGAATCTGCTTCCACAGCGGTACCATGCGGTGTACTCGCGCGGGGGAAGGCGGACAGGCGCAAGCAGCGCGAGTGAAGGGCGGCAGGGTGGTAGGGGCAGCGAGAGTGGTGGCGAGGGGAGTGCACGTGGGGAGGCGGGGGTGGTGGGGGCACAGGGGAAGGCTGGTGAGGTTGGGGGGAGGGGAGGAGGCGTGGAGGGGGAGAGGGAGATGACAGTTCCCTTGAGCTACGAGGAGCTGAGGGAGAGGTGAGCGCCTGCTCTGCTTGGCCAGTGGTCTGTGAAATAATTGTGCACTCTGCTTGTCTTTTTCTGACTGGGTTTGTATGCAACCATGTGCCTCGGTCCATTCCTTTCACCCTGACCCGTGTCCCTCGCCTGCTGTCTGTGTGTACATGCCCCGCTGTGCCACCCCCCTCTTCCAGGTACGCGCACATTGCCCCCAACCACCTCTTCCTGCTGCTGCAGGAGCTGCTGCAGTCGTCCCATCTTGCTGTCTCCTCCGCCTCCCTCCTCCCCTCCGCACCTCTCTCCTCCTCTCCGCTCCTCCTGCCACCGTCAGCAGCACTAGCCCTCTCTCCTGCCCCTTTTGCTGCAGCAGCTGCTGCACCCACCGTCGCTGCCCCTCCCTCAGCTTCCGCCCTTGCCATTGCCGCCGCACCTCCCTCCGCCTCCGCCCTTCCCACTGCACTCGAGGAGGCCTCGCTGGTGGCAGAAGCCGTTGCAGCTGTAGGCGCGAGAGTTGCCAGTGGTTCGGAGGCAGGGCGGCAGGTAGGGGGTGCAGAGGCAGCAGCAGAGGGATCAGTAGGTGCGGCTGTGCCACAGATGCACGGAAACGGGACGGAGTCTACTGCAGCAGCCGAGCAACTGGCGGTTCCAGGGCAACTAGCAGCAGCAGGATCCACTGTAGCAGGCGCTGCAGCAGCAGAAGCAGGTGGTGAAGCAGCAGGGGCAGCGGCAGCAGAGGGGGCAGGCAGCCGAGTTCTGGTGCTGGCATCGCCGGCAGCACTGGTGGTGGGAGCAACGGCAGGGGCAGAGAGGGCTGAGAGGGGGGAGAGGGGCGAGCAGGGTGCAGACGGAGAGGGTGTGTTGGTGGGCACGGGGGCGGGCGTGGCAGCAGCGAGGGACAGGTGGTGGGTGTGTGCGGGAGACGTGCCAACGCTGCTGGGCCATGGCGGGATAAGCCTGAGGCGAGGTAGGCGCGGATTGTGGCTGGAGGGGCAGAGGGCGCTTGCTCATGGCATGCTTCACCATTCTACGCTTCCCTTCCTCCCTCCCTCCTTCCCTCCCTCACTGCTGCCGTTCCTCACTGTCTTTCCCTCTCCTTGCTCAACCCGGGTTCCCTTCACCCCTCTCCACCCCACCCTGCGCGCTCTATCTTTCACATCCCGCCCCTATTCGCCTCCCAACAACAGCGGAGTGGCTGCCAGCGCTGCTCTCTGCTCCGCGCACCTTTCTTCCCCACACAGCCCATCCGCACCTCTCTGCACCGCTCCTGCGCTCCCTCACGCTCAGAGAGACGGGCGGAGGGGTGTGCTCGCGTGCTGCCAGGGCTGTCAGTGCACGGTACGCCCTCAACCATGCTGCCACTGCACCCTATGTGTGCTCCTTGCTTCCGTCCACCTCTCACGTCAACACCACGCACCGTCGCCCCTTTGTGTCTGCCTGTTGTCTCACCACCCGTCTGTCCATCCCTTCCGCCCGTCTCCCCTTCCCTCAACCCTCCCCCCCCCTCCGCCCCTCCCGCCCGTGCGGGGAGAGCAGGGCGGCGTCGCAGGCGGTGGCGTCCCCCGCGCTGCTGCTGAGCCGCATGGAGCAGCTGAAGGTGCTACGCGGCCACCGCAACGCCGTCTACTGCGGTGCGTGCCCACTCCTCCTCGCCTGCACTCACTGCCCCTCCCTGTTTGCACGCGTGCACCTCATCTCATGCTGCGTGCACTCGTTGCTGGACACCAAGGAAGCATTGCAACTACTCATGCCTGCGCGCCCTCCGTTCCTCGCAATCAACGCCCACCTTCTCGCCGTTCCCCCCTCGTTGCCTCTTCATCTAACCCGGGCAGCGGTGTACGACCACGTGGGCCGGTACCTGATAACGGGGTCGGACGACCGCCTGGTCAAGATCTGGAGCATGCACCATGGCATCTGCCTCGCCACCTGCCGCGCCCACACCGTAAGTCCCTCCTTTTCCCCTCTTCTTGCCACACGGCAAGTCCCCCTCCCCTCCCTCCATGCACCCCTCCATGACCGGCTGGTGAAGATATGGAGCATGCACCACGGCATCTGCCACGCCACCTGCCGCGCCCACACGGTAAGCCCCCCCCTCTTTCGTGCCGCACCACACGTCCCGCCCTCCCTCTGTGCCACACGGCAAGTCGACCCCCCCACATGCGAGTTCCTTCATTTGGTTACCATCTCACTCTGCATGTGTGCGCTTCTCATGCTCCCCTGGATTGCCATGGCCTGCCTATGCGCCTCTGTGCCTTTGTGCATGTGCACGTTTGCATGTGTTTGTGTGTGTGTGTATGCATGCGTGCATGTATGTACATGCAGGGCGACATCACGGATCTAGCAGTGAGTCAGGGCGACAAGTGGGTGGCATCTGCCTCCAACGACTGCCTCATCCGCGTGGTCAGTGCCGCCCGCCCGCCCCCCCGCACCACTCTCCCTGTCCCTGCCCTAGTTCCAGTGCTTGTCCTGGTTGCTATTACGTCCCGCACATCCACTGTTGTACCGTCTCTCAGACTGTCTTCTCCCTCATCTCATCTCCTTCCTGCACACCACCTGCTGCCTTCTCCACTCGTCCTCCCCTCACCTCATCGCCCTCCCACCCTCTCCTCCCCCCTCGTGCATGTGGCAGTGGGAGCTACCGAGTGGGCATCTGGAGGTGACGCTAGTGGGCCATGCAGACGCCGTCACCGCTGTCGCATTCAGCCCCACCGCTCACCACCACCTCCTCTCGTACGCCACCCCTCTCAATGTCCTGCCACCATGCCTGCCCCTCTCTCACGCACTCGTCCGCACCTTACCTCCCTCTCCCATCCGTCCGCACCCCAGTTCTCTCCCCTTTGCACATGCCCCCCACTCACGTGTATTGCCTCCCTCTATACTTCTCCTACCCCCCCCGGCCTGTCCTCTCCACAACCCCACCTCCTCTCACCTCCTCATATGTGATGTCCCACCTTCACATCACACTCCCACCGCCACCCCACACCCTCCCCACCAATTTTCATGCCGCCCCTCAGGGCATCGGAGGACGGCTCATGCCGGCTGTGGGACGTCACTGCTGCAGCGGACAGCTCCTGCCTGCGCCTCTTCCTGCCCGCCTCCCACCGTACTTCCACCATCTGCTCCCACCCTCTACTCCTTCCCTCTACTCCTGCTCTCCGCCCCACCCTCTGCTCCCTCTGCTGTGTGTTTTCCTCTCACAAGTCCACAGCCGTCCCCACTGCCTCATGCCACCTTATTCCATGTCACGCCCTCTTGCTCCTCTGCACTCGCACTCGCTTCCATAACTCAACCCTCTCTCTCCTCCCCTACCCCGAATCCCCGTTCCCCGCATCCCCGTTTCCCGAATCCCCGTTCCCCGAATCCCCGTTCCCTGAATCCCCGTTCCCCGAATCCCCGTTCCCCGAATCCCCGTTCCCCGAATCCCCGTTCCCCGAATCCCCGTTCCCCGTCTCCTCCCCTACTCTCCCCTCCTCTCCCTTCCCTCGCCTCCCCTCCCTCCCCTCCCCTTTCCTCCCCTCCCCCCCTCCAACTTCCCCTCCCCTCCCTCCTCTCCCCTCCCTGCCCTTGCCATGCAGTCACCAGGATTCCGCCATCTGCTCCCACCCTCTGCTCCTAAACCCTGAACTCCTGCTCCCCCCTGCTCTCACTGCTGTGTGTTTCCCTCGTTAG